CAACACACATGCTTTAAGACCTAACTTCTTAACTATTAAGCTTCCTATAGTTCCACAAAAACAGGGGACCTATTTATGCTCATATTATTGTTGTGATTGATGAGGAGTAGTCGATCAAACCTCTGTTTTTATTCCAAGCACTAATGACACTGCAGCTGCTATAATCAATATTATAAGTGTCAGATCTTGCCAAGCTTCCCATAGAAACCTCTGTAAAACAAATTTAAAGAATTAGTACGACAGCAAAGGAAGTAATTCAACAATGCTAACTTTTTTTAACAGAAAGATAAAATATGACATACCCATAAACCTTTACCCTTTTTGCGAGGGTATGTATTAGTTCCAAATGCATTTTTCCTCTTTGATAGATCAGCTTCATCTCCAATAATCCCTTTATCTAGATCTGATTTTAGAAAATTTGATAAGCCTTTAACCTGAACAAGACATCACTATATAATATTATTAGCAAATCAGATTGGTTAAAGAAAAAATGAGATAGAAAATAATGTTAAAGTAGAGCTACCCCTCCATATTGTTGTAAAGCGGAAATATTTTGATTCTTGGACATTGAAACAAGCTGTTCAAGTCCAACAGTATAGTCAGCACCTGGAGTTGTGGGTGCGACTGTTGTACCTGTGACTGCAGTTGAAAAACGGAAATAAATAGAATGCAAGTGGTGAAAAAGCATGGCAAAGTGTTGGAAGCATACCTAGTTGACGTTCACCAGCCAATCTGAAAAGCAAAGCTGCCTAAAAGAAGAATTGAAAGTGGATTAGAAAATATATAAGGTTAGGATATAAAGAAGTAATAGAAGATTACTCTGATGACTTGGGCATGAGCTCTAATCATGCTTTTCTTTTGCTCTTTTTCCTCTTCCTTTTTCAAATCAAGAGTATATCGAAAACGCCTAGACGCATTGAGCACAAATGCAGCTTGCTGGATGGAAAATAATTATAAAAAAAAAAAAAAAAGAGTTGATTATAGAAATAGCGGGGGAAAATAAGAAGTTGATTATAGAAAGAGAAACGGCATGCATACATACTCGCCAACGTTTGAGAGTTTCGGGAGGAGCATTTTTGGTTTGGGTAATGTCGAAAGGATCGTCGGGATCAATGAGGAGGTCGTCTTCGTCATCGTCATTATTGTCATTAGAATCGAGGACACGGCGGCGAGGGCTGGTGTTGGTAATGGTGACGGTGAGGAGTCCATTGGAGGATGTGGAACCCGTGGCCGCCATGTTTTTCATGCTATCGCTCATCTTTCAAATCCCTAATCCCTCTTTTCTTTTTCTATGCATGCAATTCCTAATCCTCTTTTCTTTTTCTATGCATGCAATTCCTAATCCCTAATCCCTCTTTCCTTGTTGTTGTTCTTCGCATGCAATTTTACTATTGTTGGTGAATGCACAAACAAAGAAACAAGCATCTCCCTTCCATTTCCCAATGTCTATTCTTGGCAAATACTAATTGCTTCATTCTCCAAATATAGTCTCCACAAATCATCTACATTTTTATTCTTTTTTATTAACTTCTAAATCAATATCTACATATTCCATACTATTCCAAATCTTTTTTTTCTTCATTCAATTGCATGTTTTCAACTAAATAAACTTTATCTCACCTATAATGTCTTTCAATAAACTTACATTTAATAAGAATGACTAAATTAAATAGTGTAGGCTGAAAAATAATATTATATAGCATATAATTCTTCAATACTGACCATTCATAATTTAACTTAATTTATGAATCTTAACTTTCCACTTTTTCAGCTTGGTGAATATTCACATGGTTACGTGAATATCAGAATTGTCAATTTGCTAATAACATTATGAGATTTATGGGAATAGAAGCATACACACAAAAACACAAATATTAAATATCAGACTATGTTAATAGAAGTTTATAGTTATAACTTGTCATGTAAAGTTTGTTGTTAAACGCATCAAACTGGTTCTAAACAGATTTAAGATAGATTATATAAGGTACTCATAAAGGCATCAATGTGATTTGTAAAAATGACATATTTAATATGCTTATAAATGCATCAAGATGATTTGTAGCACAAAAATGATGATAGTTCTTTTTCTAACACAAGAATGATGATTAACTAATGGCAACTTTAAACCACAAATTCATTATACTAAAATTCAAATATATGAACTTTATACTTAAAAGTGATAGTATGTCAAAGTCAATCCGACCTTGTTACTTATTCAAGAATCAGAGGTACTTGCACAAAAGTATTGTGCTGTCAAAATTCACGATATTGGATTTATGTTCTAAGAGAACCTCCAGTTCCACCTTAGTGACTTTAGCAAATCAAAACTTGTGAGTCCACATTTTCTTCACTTCGATTAGAGGATGAAGGAGAATAACTTCCACATTTCATTGGAAATTTCAAGCGTGCTCCAGACTTCATTTCAAATTGCCCTCAACATTTCCTGGCAATTTGAAACCCCTACGACAACACAGAAATTTCATCAGACAGTTAGTAGGCTATTTTACACTAATTAATTTGATGTTCATAAATTTCACTTACATCTCTTTTTCAATAACACAATCGAAACAATAAAACATCATAGTCTTTTGAACTTACATCATAGTCTTTCACAGAAATATTCACAACACTCATTCTACACTAATTGGATCTTGTTTAAGAAGAAAACTGAACTTGTGGTTGTCATATATTCTTTTTATCTTTACTCATGCTTAAATTTAAAAGATAGTTTCTTACAAAATCAATCTAAGTATATTCACTCCCAATAGATACGATATCCTTGGGGTACATCAGAATTTTGAAGACACTATATTTTTTTAGGTTATCTGCGATGGAAGAGTACTATCATTTCTTACTTACCTAAGAGGTGTCTCTGCCAGTTTGGCTATGTCCAAGACATACATATATCAGTCCATGTTGTACCATCTAGCATTGGTGGATGGTTCTCTACTAACATGGTGAACAATGTCAATTCGATTAGACAAAATGCAGTGGTCATGTCTTTTCTTAAATATTGTGTGAATGATTATTTAGAGTGGTATCACACCCTCACATCATCCCTCCTAGCTTATCAGATTCTATGGATAATGATGGACCTTCGCCTGTTAGAGGATATTCATGTGATATTTTGTTGCCTCATCCACCTGGTGTGACTGATCAACAACAGATGTAGATGATAACTCTTATGTCTAATAACCTCATGGGTATGATAAATCCAAATGACAAGGTTTATGCTTTGACATCACAAATAAGACACATTGTTTGTTGTTACATTGTATGGCATTATTTGCTTTATTGTGAATTGTTCTATGTTGTTGTGATTTTATTGGTTGTTATTGAAATCAAAATAACATTACATATTGGAACATGACATAAATGGTCATAAGATGAACTACATATATCTTAACTTAAATCAAACATAACATTACTTTAACATATATCAAACATAATAATAGATTAACATGAAACAAACATAACATTAATTTAACATAATTTTAATATGACATTTCATAACCAATAGATGGTTTAGGACGTTTCATCATCTTAGAATGTCATAAGTTAATCTTACAAGTGTCGCATCCACTTTAATTGAACTTTTGGTTGTGTAATGGTGAAATGTACCCCACATAACTCTTACATTTACATCCATATTTACATCAAACTTATTGAACTTCATTTTCCCATCATTATCGATAGTGGGTGAACGATACTTGATCTTAGCCCCTCTTTGATTATCGGTGTAATGTAAAAGGTTCTGTAGTTTGGATTTCAAATCTATCAGAGGCGTATCCTCTATAACCCTAAATTCAATAGGAGGTCTCATGTCATTGAAGTAAACAAATATTATATACCAATATTGGTTAATTTTAAACTGTTTTTATAACAACACAGAATGCATATTCATATATGTTCTAAAGCATTATAGACCATACAAGAGTGTCGGTACAATCTTAACCATACAAAAGTGTCAATCCAATCCTAACCTTGCAATTTCAGTTTAACTTTTTGACTTTGGTGAAAAATTATATAAAATATGCCGGGGAACCATACATCTAAAGTGCATTTATTGTGAGTAATTTAACACTATATTTAAGGTCACCATATTTTTGGTGGACAAAAATGCAATACACCAGTTTTTTTTTTTCAAAAAATCAAAAAAGTTGATGATTTTGGATTTTTTTAAAACTGAAACAGGATCATATTATTACCAATAGAATTCAAGATACAAGTGGTAGAGAATAAAAAAAAAATTGTCTCGTGACAAAACTAACCATAGTTTGGATTAGAATCTAAAATAATAATCATACACTCTTTTATAACAGATCCAAATTCAGAAGCCTCCTGCCAAATGAAATTGATTTTGGCTCTTGAATGCTACAAATATGGGAAAACTTGAGACATACAAGTTGTTTTATAATCATCATTCTCACTCTGTTATTTTCAAGACATTTGCTGTTTAACTTCTAAATGAGACATTTTATGAGTCAGTATGAAAATCCTCTTTATCGCAGCAATGGTTCTTAGGATATCCCTTCTTTATACTCCACCATACACCATCAATTCAAAGGAGGGGTTTTCTAGTTTTAATAATAAAGGTGTAAGTGATTTGATGAGGATTTTAACAACTGAAATTTTTTAATCAGGGAGGCAAAAAACATGAAATTTTTATTTTCTATGGATAGCTGTAAATAGGCCCATATCCATACAAGGATAATAATAATTAATAGGTTTAGATAACAATAATAGGTTCAGATAGTCTAAAACAACAACAACAACAACTAACAACAAAATCTTTTTCTACTTACATGGATCAAACGAAATCATAATATTTTGCAAGAGACCAAGTTTACAGATAGTTCACTTAAATCTAAATATCTTTTTAACAATTCTGCCTATACTTTTCATTGGTCTCCCTTTCTCTTTATACTGTTTGTAATTTAACATCTAAAAGTGGAAGACTGGAAATTTAAACGGGAAAGAATGGGATATACATATAGCGACTAGTAAAGGCCCAGCATCCTTAGTTCTGTCACATGGCTGGGGTCGAGTTCGGGCACATTCTTTACATGTTCTCGATCTTCTACCACATATTCCTGACATTGAAAAAAGTAAAGAACAGAGTGAAGAGTTTAGTACCTTAAATTTTTATAAAAAGAAAATTAGTACAATCCATATGCTTATATGATACTAGAAATCAAGTATAATCCTTAAATGATTGTTTCCCGGAAATTGCATATCTTATGAGCAAAGATGTGTTTAGTAGTTTTGCGTGAAATGGTTTGGTATTGTGTGGATTGTTAATGAAAAGATTTGAAAGCATTTATTAGTATTACATAGCAGACCTTAGTCAATTCTTGTTTGGCAAGAACGTGGTAGTGGCGCTCATTGATTCGTTGGCCACATATTATTGCTATAAAGAAGCCATAGAGCAAACCCACCAAAATAATGGCGAGAACTGCAAAAACATAGCAGTAATATGAAGCTTGGATTGGGTTAAGAGAGTGAGAAGTTAAAGTGGATGTGGAAGAAACGGGAATACCAGCCATTGTATAAAATCCATATGGATGTTGTTGATAACCAAACATTTCTCTAAGTTCATCCCCATAGAATTTGTAAATAAGGAGGCCGAAGAAAGCAACAACGAGTTGAACAGTGATGAAAATGAAAGCATGATCTCTGGCAACAAGGAACTGAAATTTCAACCTCAACCACCATCGATCTTTTGGGACATTGGGTCGTAAAAGGAAGAGAGCTGTGCACTCTGTACAGTGAGAAAAAGCAAAGCCCTCCTAGTAGAGCAGCAGGGTGAGTGAATAAGCATGATGGATAGGCAGTAGAATGATAAGTAAGGAGGTTGGGTTACCTTGGTAGACCTCCAGTTATCCAAACATGATCTATGGACATATTTTTGTGTACCTTTGCAATGGCAGGGGGCAATTAAGTCTTGTCCTTCAAAATCAAGGCATATTCGGCACTGTGGCTGATCTGAATGCTGAACCACAACATTCTCTATATCCTCATCATCAGACTGAATCAGAACATTCTCTATATCGTCATCATCAGAGTGAATCAGAACATTCTCTATATCGTCATCGTCGGGAATAATTTCACTCAGGATGGGTTGGGATTCAGAGTTGGAAGCTAATTGCATTTCGTGAAATGTATAATAAGGATTACACAATCAGTTTCATTCGCATTATTGCAACACACCATTTCACCAACAAACCTGCATTACAACTCACCTCAGTTTGGGAGGACAAAACTCAAATTCAAAATTATATAAATAAATAGATTCATACCTGGATGGATGGCTACATACATAGAAAGGGGATTGAATTGAAAGAGAATAATAAGGAATCTAGGGTTGATAAAGACTGAATTCAGGGATCTAGGGTTCGCATAAAAGAGACGATGCGTGGGTGGATGAGCGAGCGCCGACCGAGAAACCTAAAATCGACCACTTCTTGCCACCCATTCGTTCATTACAATTTATTTTTAAACTAACTAAATACTACGTCACTCTTTTTTTTTTTCATCTCTCTTAAAATTTATATCTAAATTCTATAATATTTTTAGACATATTAATACATACATTTTCCAACACATCAAAACCTATTCTTTTCTCTCCTACCGTTACATGGCTACTCTGATGTAGGTTGGACATGCTCTGTTGATATACGTAGGTCTATATTAGGTCAATGTTTATTTCTTAGTAGATCTTTGATATCATGGAGATCAAAGAAACAACTAATTGTATCACATTTCTTATCTGAAGTTGAGTATCGAGCTCTTGCGGCTGCGACCCGTGAGTTTCAATGATTATTGTATCTTCTATAAGATTTTCACATCACATGTATCAAAACTCATGCCATCTACTGTGATAACCAGGGTGTGATACATATCGCTTTAAATCTCGTCTTTCATGAGCGCACGAAACACTTGGAGATTGATTATCACCTTGTTTGAGAGAAACAAAACTAGGGAGTCTTAAAACTGCTACCTGTCAAATCCAATGACCAATTTGCGGATTTGTTTACTAAATCTCTCCTACCTTAACATTCCATGCACTACTAGTCAAGTTGAAGATGATAAACATTTATCAACCTTCAACTTGTGGAGGAATATTTAACCATGTTAATAATACTACCATTGAACACAATAAAGACATTACCAACTAACTTGTCATGCTGTTATTTTTAATTACAAAGTAGTTAGAATTAGTTACACCATTAGAGTTATATCATGGTGTAGTATGGTTTAGTTTTCTTATAGTACAAGGCACCTTGAATGTATATAAACAATAATGTTGTAATCATTTTCAAATCAATGAGAATCCATCTTCTACCATATTCATTTTGATTCATAATAGTATCTTGATGTCTTGACTTTAAACACCTATAATTTCAAATAATAATACTTATTAGTAAATAACCATAGAAATTATAAATTACAATAAACTATGAATAAAGAATATAAAATACTTACTTGTAAGTTTTCCCATATTCCTTCTTAATGATCCTTACGAATAACAAGCACATCATCTCTATCAACTTCTTTATATGAAGTAAGCACTTGTGTTGCGTAAGAAAGAGTGGAAGGAATATCAAAATTTTCATCACTACGAGGAATGTATTTTCTTTGGAAAAAAAATTGGTCATCTCTTTGATAAGTCTGGAGAATATGTGGCATAAAAAACTTATTTTGCTTGAGTAGCCATGATGAATGGTTTGATCACATAAGTTGCCTTGCCAAGGTTAACTTGTATGAATCATATATAAGTCATCAGTTTGCACACCATTATTATTTGAAATCCACTTGTATTTAAATAAAGGCACTTTGAAAATAACATAATCAATCTCCAAATATTTCTCTCAACATGACCTTTTTTATTCTTTCCAAAGACAATAATGAGGTGTTCTTGTCATTGATAAACTCCATCGTCGATTAAAGGTTTAGGAGTAATTTCAAACTCATGATCTCCATTAAAAGCCTTCCGCAGTTTACGATGAGGATGATTGAATTTTAGAAACTTCTGATGCCCAAGGTAAACGGTTTTTTTTTCAAACTCAAGTTGGTGAAAACATGTATTAGATTCACATATAGGACACACTTTATGTCCTTTGATATTGTATCTAGCCAAATTATCATATGCAGGAAAGTCGTTGATTATGCAAAATAACATTGCACACATCTTAAAATTTTCACCAGAATATGCATCATCAACATCAACGCCTTCCTCCCACAAAAGTCTTAAATCTTAAATTAATGGACTTAGATAAACATTTATATCATTTCCATTTTTTGTCCATAAATCATCATACTTAACAACATATATTTGCGCTTCATGCTTAACCACAGAGATAAGTTGTAAATTGTGAGAAGAACAAACCACAAAGAATGTTAGTACTTAGATTACAAAAGGGATTCATTTCATCTGTGGCAAGCCCAAGCCTAAGGTTTATTGGCTCAAAGAGAAAATTCAGAAACAACAAATCAATTTTCGTCCATTGCAAAGAATCACCTACATGGCGAATGTTTGCATAACATTTTCTTTCATTTGTATGCCATCTAATATGCTTTACGTCATTCACATTATCAAAAAGTAACTTGAATCTTGAAATTATTGGCAAGTACCATAACACTTTATCAAGGGACACTTCTGACTAACATTGTCATTGTGATCATCATTTTTGTCCTTCAACTTGTAGCGCGACTCACCATATTTCGGACATTGATCCAAATTTTTATACTTTTCCTATATAATATGCAATCATTGGGGCATGCATATATTTTAATATACTCGAAACTCATTGGAAACAATATCTTATTGGCGTTGTAATACGGTGGGAGAACTGACCTGGGTGTTTTGCATTTGATCGCAATTGTTACGGATAGCAAGAGTCGCCACCGACTTTTCTTTTATCTAATAAAGGAAAGGGTGAAAAGAATAGGAAAGACTTTTTGAGATATTTTCTTGAGTTCGGGGGGTAGGTTATGAAAACGGAAGGTGTTAGCACTATTTTCATCCATAGTTATCTATGGGCTCTTAGTTGCTTGCTAGATCACTTTTGAAATTGCTTTGTTTGAAATGTGTTAATGGTGGATTTTGAATGTATTTTTGAAAAGCGCATTCGTTTAGACAAACTTTGTAATGATTCTCGTCTCTATAAGAATGCATACAAAGTGTTGGACTTATTTCATGTTTTGAAAGTGTTTGGTGTATTTGAAAAGATGTTTGTTTTGAAGATGGATTATGAGCAAGCAACTAAGAACGTCCTACCTACTCAAAAGTCTTTTATTTATTTCTCTCTTCCTTTGACATTGCTATTTTACCATTGATTGATAAGAAACCTTATCTTTGGATGTGAAGGGACGGGCGTGGGTCATCGTATAGTCATAGATAGCAATATTGTAAGATACCTTAGCATTTTTCTTTAAGGGTCTAAGATTATTTTGAAGGCAACGTTCGAAGCGTCATCGAGGGACGTTGATCTTGTATTTTGTTTGTTTTTGCTAAGATGTCTCACATGCATAACATGACCATTTTTAAGGCAACAAGTGGAGTTAACCCTAGAGGTGCAAGTGTGAAATGTATGTTTGATTGCATGCATTTTTGTCTTGAGATTATGGTTTTTCTAAGCATCGATTTTATCTTGCCATACACACCCTAATTACTAACAATTATATGAAAACGATAAATTTGTGGAAATTAAAATCCTACGCTATTACATCAATAGGGGGATGGGGATACAATTTATGAATGAGGATGGAATAGGAGCTTAAATATTACAACCATATTGAATAAAAATGAAGAAAATATGTAAAATATGTAAAAATAGTGTCAAAGAGAGAAAAATTGCATTTTTGAATATTATGTGTCGACACATGCTCCTTTGCATCGACACATAAGCTTTTCTTGCCCCTGTAAGTTCAAATCAACTCAATATGAGTCGATGCATAAGGATATGTGTCGACTCATTCCCTGCATGTGTCGATACATTCGTGCTTTGTGTCTACTCACACACCTTTTATTCCTTCTATTTTGTGCCTGTATAACAATATGTGTTGACACATAAAGGTTTTGTGTTGACTCATAACCTATTTTTCCACTAAGATGTGTCGACTCATATAGGTATGTGTCGATTCATACTGTAATTTTTTCACTCCAACATTGTTTTATGGTCTGTACAAGTCAGTTCTTAACATATAATTGACAAGGATGAAAGACAAGCAAAAGGTTAGCTTCAAGGGAAATAGTTACTACATTTTATCTTCAAATATGAATCATTAATGATGCTTGAAATGAAGGGTTAAATTCAAGAAGACTTACCTTGAAGCTGGAATTTATGCTTTGAGTTTGAGTTGCTGCCTTGACTGTTCTTGAACTTGGAAAAAACAGAGGTGTTACAGAAGCTTGTTCTTGAGTTTAAACAAACTTCTATATGATGTATGTGGAGTTTTTAGATAGTTTGTTTGGGCAGAGCTTTGCAAGGTATGAGAGGTTTAAAGGTTTGGACTTCAAAACTCAAGAGTGGAAGCTTTGTGGATTGTTATGGCTTTTGTGAATATGATATTTTGAGGGTTTATCAACAAAACTTATGACTTTTCTCTCTATTTTTCTGACCTCTTTCTCTTACAATTGGCCTCTCTATTTATAGAGAAGGTTTGAGACTTGAAACAACTTAGATTTTGAATCACATGTTATGGCTATCTTGCTTGTTTTTGAATCAAGCATGAAGAATATGTTTCCAATGCTTGTGCTAAGCTATCTAAAGTGGTTGATCACTTTAAACATGTTTGTTCTGATTTGTAGGAGTTTAGTGTGACCAAAACAAAAAGTTTGAGGCTCAAGAAAGTGACTTTGTGATTAAAGTGAACTTTGCAAGAATGACAATGGTGCCTTCGTGCCAAAAATGGAAAGATGTAATGGACAATACTTGAATCACTTGGATAATGGTTTTATCAATTGTGTAAATATATGATTATGGATAGATTTGCAAGTCAAGAGGCCTACAAAGTTAGATTATGCAGCATGGTGTGATACAGTGGCAGAACCGACTGTTATATTGGTTTTGTGTTTGTATTCGCAAATGTTGCAGTAAGCAAGAGTCACCACCGACTTTTCTTTTATCTAATAAAGGAAATGGTGAA